TCTCTATATTCCCCGGATATCTCTCCAATAGATTTCCGGAACTTTGGAACCATAAGATATTCAGAGACAGAGCTTCTATGATTCAGGTCCTCGAAGAGTTTATCGCTTCTAAAAACCAAGACTTCTCCGAAAAGAGTATGTTTTTCATTAGGAAGATTGTCGCGAATACAAATGGTGCTTATTTTGATTAAAGTCGGGAATAATGTTTAAGAATATCCAACATGAATACTTTTCATATAGAGATATGAGACGACCTAACTTAACGAATCGACTTCAGACCGGGAATTCAATTTTAATCGCAGGGTGGAGAGCCAGGGCTCTGGTGCTGGCTGCCTGGGGTTTGTCAACATTGTTTAGCGTGCCGATCATTTTCCTGTACGAGGAGAAACGCATACAGGTAGTATTTCGTCGAGATTCCGCGAGGAACGAATTCTTATGGTTAAAGAAGCTTTTGATCGCTTTAACGGAACTCTGTTAATTGTGTTTTCCGAAGGAAACTTCGTTTCTCCTGCGTACCTTGATTTCTTTGCAAACATGTAATTATCTGCGTTATTAACGAGACACGCCGTAAAGATAAAGCAACGAGTTTCCCGAGCGATTTGAATCTTCAACCTCGATTTTGTTCAATGTTCTGTAAAAAAAAAAAAAAAATCAACTTTTCCGAACCAGTTAAGTGCGTAGTTTGATACAGAATTCCCTTTCGCGGCATTTTTCCTTCTCTATGAATTACATACGAACCATTTAAACGAACACCTAGTTTTGACCTAGTTTTGGTAAATCGGTCATACTACGAGCATAATCGGCAGGATCGTTTACTAGGGGAAGACACAATGCTGGATAGACCTGGGCTCTCCTGTGCAATGGAGGATCTACATGAGCCTGGTCAGCTTTACCCTTTTTATAGCCCCCACTCTGATAATAGGAGGCTGTTATGCTGTGATCGTAGCTACTATATGGTCGCAAGGAGGGGCATTACGCCAGGGACCTACGAGGGACACTAGAAGAGCGTCGTCTCGAGGACTCATTCCCAGAGCCAAAGTTAAGACGGTTAAAATGACCCTCGTTATAGTGTTCGGTGAGTAAACGATGTTCCGAGTTCAAAGAGTAGAAGTGAATTTACAACTGTAAGACTAAAGATCAAAGTAAATTTGACTCGCGAAATTTATTTAAACCATATTGTAGAAAATTTGGTATATATCCTTGTATTAGATATGCATGTCGTGTTGAACATTATCGAAACATTTTACTACACGCTGTTGCATAGTTGTGTTGGCGAAATTCGAAACAAAAAGTTAATTAGAATTAAAATTGAAAAAAAAAAAAAAATAATCTTAAACATATAACAAGCGTTAAATTTGATTTCATTTGTCACATAAAGATTCGTTAATACAACAAATATAATTTCATTTCATTTCAAACTCTGCTGATATAGGTAATAATAATATCCGTGTTTCATAACAGCTTTAATTAAATTTTAAAATATTTCGTGCGGCGCGCATAATGTACTTGAAATCTGCGTATATTTGATGTTCGAGATCCACGTGGCGAATTTGGAAAATTACAGATTTATGTCGCGCGAATGACGATAATCGTGAAACTCTTTGGCCATGACCAAAATCCACGATAGAATATGATTGTGCCAGTTCGCAGAAAGGAAAAACTATCAAATTATGTATCAGAGCGTCGTAAAGTTGAAATTCCTACGTCACAGATATTGCAAAGAGCACAACGATAAATAATTGAAACTTTTTGGTACAAACGAGCTCGTTAACAGCGTAAATCGTCCGACGCAGAGCTATAAAAATTTAATGAACATACGTAGTTGAAGTTTGGTAACGAGCGAACTGAAATTCCGTTTAATCGGCGGACGATAAAAATGTAAGAACTCCTTTTTTCAACTTTGTTCTCTTCCGTAGAAGATTGTATTTGCACCGCATAAAAAAGCTACACAGTCAAAGAGATAAGCGAAAATGGTTTTCCACTTCTGTCTCCGATCCTCTACAACTTCTCGTACGAATCACCACGAGCTCGGAGATATCTACTAACAAGTACAGTTGTGTACACTTTGTGTTTGCCTCGCGAGATCAGAGGACGGAATCTTTTAGTCTGAAGAGATTCAATTTTTTTTTCCCCCTCGTGGTTTTAACCGGTGCTTTTTTATTCTGTCAAGTGCTATTCGTTTCTCGACTGTTTTTCTCGACTGGACGTAATACAACGATCCAAGGCAGTGGCTATTTTCTAAATTAAGAAATGAGAATTGAATGTAAGGCTTTGTAATTTTCAAACTCATACAGAAATGCTGATGAAGAGATGACAACTGATTTGTATTTGTCAAACGCTCCATAAAAGTTCCGAGTCTTTGCCTTGTTCAACCTTTTCTCTTCATTTCTCGGGGGAATGGGTTTATCTGTAGCAGAAATTGCTGGATCTAATCAGATTCGTTTCTCAACAATGTCTCGCCTAGAATTTCTCCTTTTTTTTTTTTTCTTTTTTTGTTTTAGCTGACGAAGATCGTTCCCAATGGAACCAATCAAATGAGATCGAGCTCTGACTACGCAACTGCCTTCGGTGCACTTTAACAATGAAGAAACCACTCAAACGACTACGCCACGTATATTATTTCTACGACCAGTACGGATCGATATTTTAATTTAAAAAAAAAAAAAAAAAAAAAAAAAACGTTCAACGTAGTATTCTTGCGATTTGTTTCTTTGTTACTGTTGTCGTCTTACGATCACGCGATACTCGAGCACTGTGACTGAGTTCAACAAACTCGTGAGCATCCAGTGTTCATGCCCATATAGCAATAAGAGCGTTCATTGATTTACGATAAGCAAAGCGCATCGTACAATGTCTTCGTTCATGCGAATCCGTAAACACTTTCACGCGTTTCGATTATCCTCGAGATCCGGTGTGCTCTTATCTAATTGTAAAACGAGACGTTGTTGAGAAGCACATGTTTGACCCGTTAAGAGCCAATGTTGCGTAAACGTAGCATTTTCATTAATTTATATATCGTCGAATCTCGTTTTTTTTTTTAAACTATAACTACGAAAGGAATTCTAAATAGTCTTTCCAATATTATTTTTTTTTTTTTT